GCGAGGGGGGCGGGGCAGTTTACACACACGCGGCTTCTACAAGCAGCAACACACGGAGGAGATGGCGGAGAGAAGCGCTCCAAGGTGTGGTTAAATGTTACCCGTCTTGAGGTGGACAATGCTCCTTGCCAAGAGTGTTTAGCATGTAAGGGCGGTAACACGAGCAATTTGTCTAAACATTTAGCAAAAGTGCTCCACATTCAGACGGAGAAATGCACCGGGTTCGACTGTCTTTCTAGTAGCTCTGTAGCCCCATCCACGAGTAACGTTTCCACGTCAGGTGTTATGTATGCTAGCAGCAACACAAGGAGTTAACTCAATTATACAAACATGGGTTAATGATTAGAGGTAACAGAGTTACTCTTTATTTTGTTAAAGTTTCAGCTATTCTGTTCACAGTTCTGTCATCAGATTATTTAATACGATTTGTTAAAACATTGTTGTTTCTTTTGATGTGAAATATTATTTATTTAATTTAAATAAACCAATGTTAATTTTGTTCACAGTTTGTTAAGTTAATTTAATAATATATGTATTTTTGAATCAAGTATTCATCTTTATTGTCTTCATTGTTAGTTTCCACATGCCTAAAACAACCTCAAGCTAAATCTAAAAGTTGATGGCTAAATAAGAGCGCTTGAGAAATTGTGCAAGGCATACAGTAATAGTCCGAATAGTCGATTGATCGTTTCATTAATCGATAGATTAATCGATTATCAAATGAGTCGTTTGTTGCAGCCCTATTGTAGTTATCCCATGTATAAATAAAACGTGTTATTCAGCAACCCTTGCAATTTGGGATTTTATTTTTGGTTGGTAGACCTCGGTGAGCTGGTCATTTCAAAAGTAGCTCACCAGCCAAAAAAGTGTGGGCACCCCTGGTGTAAGGGAACTCACAAAATGTCAGAAAATAAAACCCTCTCTTTTCCTCCGTACCCAAACCTCTAAAAACGGGGGCACAACGGAGCTGATCCAGATTTGCTGCCGAAATGTGGGCTGGGTTTACGCCCATGGCCCTATCAGAGACGTTGCTATCAGAAACGCAACATGTTTTGGACGTCATATGGTCTGTGTTTACATTAGCAAGCAACGCTAACACTGAGAGCTAACGCTGTACTGGAGAGAGTTTGTGTAAAAAAGCAGGATATAAAAAGGAACTCACCTTGTGACCTAATACACTGTTTAACTGAGTATCTGGGTAGAATTCTCCTGCATGAGCTCTCGTCTCAGCTCCCTAACCCAGACCCGGAATCAGCACTTCTCTAACAGGGCTGAATTAGAGGGGTATGAGCATGTAGAATGGGTGATCTTTTTGGTATTTTGAGCAAAACACTTCATGGACATGTTTTTTATATATCTGGGACCAGTGGCGGTTCTACAGGGTGGCACGGGGTGCCACCTCAGAAAAATGCCTTGCCACCCTAGTTGCCACCCCAGTTGGCAGATTTGTTTGGAAATAAAAGTTGTGGCTCATCGGACATTTATGAGAGAAAATCTCTAATGTCCGAGTGCAAGTGAATGCAGCACAAGACGCAAGCCTTGTAACCCCTCCCCCGGCCCTGGCGCAGCGTGGAAATATGATTGGGGGCGATTTCATTTGAACGGGGGGACAGCGCAAAACGAGAAGCATTTCGGATCCAAGTAGACGGAAGGAATGAGGTATTTGCGGTCTACAATGACAGAGAAGAGACTGTCAAGTTTGGCTGTACTCAGCATTGAATCGCTGAACTGTTCCTTTGATTCTTTTGATATACAGTGGGATGAAAATTACAGGCCTCTCATCTTTTTAAGTGGGAGAACTTGCACAATTGGTGGCTGACTAAATACTTTTTTGCCCCACTGTATATATATATATTATTGTTGTATGTTTTTGTTTCTGACATGTTCAATAAACTGACTACATTTTTTTTTTTTAAATAGGCTCTCAGAAGTGTCTAATTCTCTTGGAAGACTTTCCACAATTTAGCTGAACTGCTTCACCTCAAGAACTCCACCTGGCGCAGGGCTCGTCACTCAAAATCCCACGACGATTGGCTATCATTCAGGAAAATTAGAAATAAATCTATACAGGCTATCCGCAAAGCCAAGGTTGATTTCTTCCATAATCAATTCAACCTCTGTGAATCCAATCCAAAGACATTCTGGAAAACAGTGAAAGAGATGGAGAATAAACCCCCATCCTCTCATCTCCCTAACTCCCTCGTTATTGAGGACACAGTAGTCACCGGTAATGAACGCATAGCAGAGCTCTTTAACCAGCACTTTGTTAAATGTGGGAACCTATTTGACTCTATAGCGCCTCCTAAGCCCCCCACCAACACTCCGCCACCCAGCCCCTCTAGCGCAGCCCAATGTCACAGCTTCTGCCTGCAGGAAGTTAGTGAGAACGATGTGCTGGAGGTCCTTAGCAAACTTGACCCCAACAAACCTGCAGGTCTTGATGGGCTAGACCCCTTCTTTTTTAAAGTTGCAGCCCCGATTATTGCAGAAGCTATCTCCCACCTTTGTAATCTGTCCATACAGACAGCAGTGCTACCTTCTGCCTGGAAGGCAGCCTCAGTGCAACCTTTGTTTAAAGGGGGAAACCATGCTGACCCCAACTGCTATCGTCCAATATTCATTCTACCCTGTATAGCGAAAGTGTTCGAAAAGTTAGTTTGCAAACAGCTAACATGGTTTCTGAAGACTTACAACATACATGCAGACATGTTGACATGCAGTCTGGGTTCCGTGCAGGTCATGGGTGTGAGACGGCGACTCTCAAAGTCTTAAATTATATCATCAATGCCCTTGACTCCAGACAATACTGTGCTGCCATTTTCATCGATCTTGCCAAAGCCTTCGACACTGTAGATCACCAACTGCTTCTGGGAAAGCTTAGATGCATTGGTGTCATTAACCAATCGATAGCCTGGTTTGAAAACTACCTGTCTATGCGCACCCAGTGTGTAAAATCTGATGACACAGCCCTTATCCATCTCTAAGGGAGTACCACAAGGCTCTATCCTAGCACCCATCCTATTCTCAATATATATATAATTGACATGGAGAAATCAGTGGGCAACTCCTCTATCCACCTACAGTATATGCCGATGACACGATTCTGTACACTGCTGGCCCTTCCCCAGATACTGTCCTGAAAACTCTTCAGGATAGATTTCAGAGAATCCAGTCATATCGCCTGGTCCTGAACACCACTAAAACCAAGATCATGTGGTTTGGCCGCAGTGGTGCCTCCCAAACTGGCACTATTGTGAATGCCGATGGCCGGGAACTCGAAATAGTTAAATCTTATAAATACCTTGGATTTTGGATTGACAATCTGTCAATCTCAGAACATCTCTCCAAAATTCAGACCAAGGTTAAAGCTAGACTCAGCTTTCTATATAGGAATTGCTCCTCATTCACTTCATCTGCTAAACTCTCTCTGGTCCAGATGACTGTCCTTCCTCTGTTCGACTACGGTGATACCATCTACCGCTCGGCGTGTAAAGGAGTTCTTGATCATTTAGACGTTCTGTATCACTCCGCAATCCGCTTCGCCACCAATGCCCCCTGTAGAGGCTAAGCCAATGCTTTAAGCCTCTGAGGATCCGCTTGGTGGGTGTAATTGACGCACACCTTGTTTGCTGCCGAATAAAAGTCAGAACCAACGTTTCCAGTTCGAAATAGTCCATTTATTTCCCTTTTTTACTGGTTTCTTTGTTTCATTCACCACACGATATTTATGGTTTACACAATACCTTTTGCTTTGTTTTTAATCCTGTGTTTGTGTGCGTGTGCTCCGTGTGTGCTCCTTGTGAGTGTGTTCTCCGTGTGTGCTCTCCGTGTGTGGTCAAAAACTGTATGGGCCTTCCGGCGGAACCTCTCACCAACACACATAGGTTCCTACCTTTATACCCACATGTAATTGGCTCCTACACACCAGCCCCTAATTGATAGTACAGGTATCAATTGAAAACAATTAAGGAGCCAAATGTAAAAATCATATTTCAATACATAGAAATGCACATCCTACACTTCCTGTACTAAACATAGTTTAGTAATAGGTCGCACAATAATGTTGGTCTTGGTCTGTAACTTGACAGAGCGCACCAGTCCTCCTTTGTCAGGAAAAACCTCCAATACTTTGCCAAGAGGCCAGGAACCGCGGGGAGCTGAGGAATCCATGATGACTACAATATCACCAGCGACTATATTCCTTTTCCTTTGGATCCACTTTTGCCTCTCTTGTAGCAACGGCAGGTATTCTCGCACTCAACGCTTCCAAAATAGATCAGAAATGTACTGAACTTGTCTCCAGCGACGTTTCACATACATGTCAGATGGTTCAAACAATCCAGGTGGCAGAGCTGGTTTCCCTTTCAAAAGAAGAAGATGATTTGGTGTTAGAGGCTCCAAATCATTTGGATCGTCAGACAGCTTGGTGATTGGCCGATCGTTAAGAATGGCTTCAATTTCACACATGACTGTATGGAGTCCATCATCATTCAACATCTGTTGCTGCACAACTGAATTGAGGACGCGCTTTACCATGCGTATCAAGCGCTCCCAAACACCACCATGATGAGATCCTGCTGGTGGATTAGAACTCCATTCAACTCCAGCTGAAATTAGAGCTCCTTGAATCTTCTCATTATTCAATGCAGCGAGGGCCTCTCTTAGTTCTCTTTCTGCTCCAATGAAGTTGGTTCCATTGTCTGACCTCATATGAACAACTTGACCTCTTCCACTGATGAAACGTCTTATAGCATTTATGCATGCGTCAGTGTCAAGAGAGGGTGCAACCTCTAAGTGAACTGCTCTACTTGTTAAGCAGGTAAATATCACTCCATAACGCTTGCAAGTAGATCTGCCCCTTCTGATTTCCACAGGTCCAAAATAATCCACTCCAACATTGGTGAATGGAGGTAGATCTGGAATAATTATCTCCTTTGGAAGATCTGCCATTTTTTGCTCCATAGCTCTTCCATTGTAACGTCTGCAAAAGTGGCATGTGGCTAGCATGTGGTTAGAGCCTGCTGTTTCACTTCCATCTTGAATTTAAAGGAATCTGACTTGACGCACCAGAGTAGTCCCAAAGCTCTCTCAAGAGGAAGATTGTCTCTATCCAGATCGAGGTCCTTTAGCTCTTTAGCCTTCTGCTCTTCCGAGATTGTCTGCACAACTGCCCGACTATTGCTGATCCATTTTTCCAGCACAAAACCTCCTCTTTTACAGAGAGCATTAAGATCTTCAACCATTTGTATTGCTGCCTTCTCTGAGCCCAAACCCATCAAACAGTCATCCACATAGAAATTTCGCTTAACTGCTTCAACAGTCTCAGCCGAAAAGTCAGACTTGTTGTCGTCAGCAGTTTTCCTTAGCGCATAGCTAGCGCAACTGGGAGAAGAGACAGCTCCAAACAGATGCACCGTCATTCTGTATTCCTGGATCTCTCTGGTGAAGTCTCCCTCTGGCCACCAGAGCAAACAAAGGAAATCTCGGTCTTCTTCTGTGACTTTGACCTGGTGAAACATAGCCTGTATGTCGCCCATGAATGCTACAGGTTCCTGCCTGAAACGAGTGAAAACTCCAAGCAGTGAACTGGTGAGATTGGGACCTTGATAAAGTACATCGCTTAATGTTGTTCCTTTAAATGTGGCACCACAATCAAACACCACTCGGAGAGAACCTTTTCGTGGATGGTAAACACTGTGGTGTGGGATATACCATAATTTTCCACTGCCATAGTGCTGCTGTGTTGGTACCTGTTCAGCATAACCCTTTTCAATCACTCCATTCAAAACGCTGGCATATTCCTTATGCAACATTGGGTTACTCACAAATCTTTTCCTCAATCCAAGTAGCCTTTGCTTTGCCACTGCAAAGTTGTTTGGAAGAAGGACGCCAGGTGTCTTAAGGGGCAACTTCAGGCTGTACCTGTTGTCCTGTAGTGTTGCAGACGTATTCATGATTTCCATAAATTGTTGGTCTTCCCTTGACATCTCTTTTTCCTCTGAGGGCTTTTCATTAAAGTCATGATTATACTGACTGCTAAGCATGAGCTCCAATTTGGAAATAGAAATCCTATTCACCACAACAGAAGAAAGCTCCATGTCAACATCGCTGCCATTGCTGCTTCCATGTAAAGGACCATTGATGGCCAATCCCAACACTGTTCTTATAGCGTATGGGCCATTTCCACAACTGTTGACAATTTCCCAAGGTTCCAATATCTTGGGAGCGTTGGTTCCAATCAACATGTCAACATTGGCGTTTATGCTGGGGATATGAACTTTTGACAAATGATTCCACCTCTTCACATCTGCGGCTGTAGCAATGTGTTCTTTGGTTACTGGCATTTGCTTCTGTGTGAGGACTTCTGGAAGAGGATAAAAGTTATTTTCCTCAAGACCAGATACCTCCATCCCAAATAAGGAGTAAGCTGGAACGACCTTTTTCTGTCCCATAGTCTTCAAAAGAAAATTAGTTATTTTTCCTGTGATGTTTAATCTGTGCATGAGATCTTCTGAGCAGAATGTGGCTGTGCTTCCAGGATCTAAAAATGCATAGGTCTGTATAATCTCACTTCCCTTTGTGGACTTGACCTGCACTGGAATAATTGAAAGAATGCAGCCATCATTTCCGGCCACTGTACGTCCACATGTCTGAGGGGGGGTTTGTGATTTAGCGGTTTGTCCCAATTCCACATTAGATGTATTTATGTGGAGCGCAGTAGGATGTTGCTTTTCACAAACCTCACAGATCAAGCGTTGTTTACAGTCCCGGTTTATGTGTCCAATACACAAGCATCCAAAGCAAATTCCTTTCTCCTTTAGAAATTGAATTTTGTCTCTGTGTTTCCTTTCGCTGAACTGCTTACATCTGTCCAAAACGTGAGTGTTGTGATCACAACAATGACACACCAAGCTCTCCTGTGGTTTTGAGTTATTTGTCGTTTTAATTCCGACCTCACTCATTGGGAATACTGTAGCGGCAAAACTACTTCCTTTCATTCTGTTCTTTGATTGTGGCTGAAACATGTTGGAAGATTTTATAGCAACTGATTTATGTCCTGAATCCTCGATGTCTCCAAAGATCGGATCAGAAAGGACTCGTACATGTCTCTCAATGAATTTGACCAAGTCAATGAAATGAGCTCTGTTGTTTGAGGCTTCCATGATGTTATGAGCTTTGTTTCTCCATTGTTCCCTTAGTTTGTATGGCAACTTGAAGACAACCATTTTCATATTGGAGGGCATATCCAACTCCTGCATGTACTGAAGTTCTTCCATCACATTAGCACATCCACGCAGAAATAAAGCATAGGCTTGTAGTGCTTTAATATCTTCTGCCTTTGTTATTGTTGGCCAAGCTAGAGCCTTTCCTATGTAAGCAGCAGCGATCTTGTACTCATTCCCAAAATGTTCTTGCAAAAGACCCTTTGCCACAATGTAGCCACGTTCTGGAGCCATGTGCTGCTACGAACCAGTTCCTGTGGCTGTCCTTTTGTGAACTGTTCTAAATAGTACACGCAGTCGGCTTTGCTGGCTTTGTTTTCCACTCCTTGTTCAAATGCTTTAATAAAAGCCTTGTACTGAAACAGGTCTCCATCAAAGATAGGAATGTCTCTTGCTGGTAGAGACAGTAAACGTAGCTGGTGAACCAGTGCAGCTGTTATTTCATTTTTCTTTTGCATTATCGTGAATAAACCTTCAGGTGGAATTCGATTGATTTGCTGATGGTGATTTTCCTGTTGACTTTCCCATGCAGTTGATTCACCAGTTATCGATGTTCCCAGATAATGTTGATTTTGTACATAAGCATCTTCCTTAAATGCAAACTGCCTTTCAGCTTGCTTTGGTTCCATGTCCATCTTTGTTGGTTTGCTGGAGGATATTTTCCATGATGTGGAATCATACTCCTTTGCCAGGGGGTTAAGTATGTTTAACGATGCCAGTTTCCTTTTTTCCTTTTCCAGGTATGAGTTCATACCATTTGTTGGTGCAAGAGAGGAACGTCGTGAATGTGAACCCTGTAAAACTGCTAGCCTAGCAGTAGATACAGCTAGCTCAGTTTCCAACTCAAGCTGTTCCTTTTTCCGCTTTAATTGTAGCTCCTGTTCCTCCAGTGCATGCCTCTCAGTTAAACCTGCCATGTGAGCAACAATTGCAGCCTTTTCTGCTGCTGCTATAATTTGTGCAGATGAAGTTGTACTTGACTTTGTACTGCTGTCACTTTTGTTTGAATATTTACCAACATCAGAAACACTGTCATCAGGATTGATATCGTCATTATTATCACCAGTACCTTCAGTTTCACAAACCCACACCTTGATTTGGACAATAAATTCATCATTGAACATCATTTTGGCTTTAAACCATGTTTCATGTCTTTCCCTTTCATCATGTGGCAATAAACCCATTAAAGTGTCATGCATAGACCTGGCTTCAACACACAATTCAATATAACCATCAAGAGCATTTTGAACCTTAGCATGTTCACCACTTAACATCAAATCTTTTATATTTGTTCTTAATTTGCTAGCTTTATTTAGCTTAGCCTTTCTGCCATTTTGCAACCTCTCAAGTTTTTCCGCAAGTGCTTTGGCAGAGAGTTTAACTGCCCGCTTAATGCTTTGTGCATCACTACAGCTGGCCACGCTATCCAGCTTGCCAGCTGCTGGCAGCGCGTCAGCTGCTGGTATGTCCGCAGCGCGCTCCTCCATATTTGAATGTCTTAAAGTCAAACGGATTGTCACAAATCACACAGTACAATACAAGCGCTTATTGTTCATCCCTTTCACCACCAATGCATTGGAATTACGCCCTTATGTGTGCACACAACTTAATTCCTATGGCCATTTAAACCGGTTGTAGCGCGCTACACATACCTCCTTAGATGAACGTAGTTCCGTGCCAAGCGGCGAAAAGCTTCCCGGCACCATTCAGCGCGTTGCTCCTGTCGCCTTCCTGTGCAGCAGATGAGCAAACCAGTTGTAGCCGTCCTCCTCTCGGCGTCAGGTGGCTGCTAACAGCTGAGCAGCCGGCGTGTTGTTGTCCTCCTCTCGGCGTCCGGTAGAAGGTTAGCAGCCGCTCTCAGCGTTCGATAAACGCAACGAAAAAATGTCTTCTTGTGTTACCCCAAAAAAGGCAAGTTTTTGACTATATGTAGAGGCTAAGCCAACGCTTTAAGCCTCTGAGGATCCGCTTGGTGGGTGTAATTGACGCACACCTTGTTTGCTGCCGAATAAAAGTCAGAACCAACGTTTCCAGTTCGAAATAGTCCATTTATTTCCCTTTTTTACTGGTTTCTTTGTTTCATTCACCACACGATATTTATGGTTTACACAATACCTTTTGCTTTGTTTTTAATCCTGTGTTTGTGTGCGTGTTCTCCGTGTGTGCTCCTTGTGAGTGTGTTCTGAGAACACACTCACAAGGAGCACACACGGAGAGCACACATGGAGAACACTGTTCTCCGTGTGTGGTCAAAAACTGTATGGGCCTTCCGGCGGAACCTCTCACCAACACACATAGGTTCCTACCTTTATACCCACATTTAATTGGCTCCTACACCCCCTACAGGACACACCACTGTGACCTGGGGCCTATACTACGAAGCTGGTTCAACCTAACCTGGATATGTTTGAAAATGAAAACCTTTGTCTCCCCCCGCACCTTCAATGTCACTATTATAGACACCCTGTGTAGCTGCTTTGCCTGATGCTGATTTTAATGACTGATTGAACCACAGCAATATTGTTTTAGAGTTTGTATATGTTTAACTGCTATGCCTGTCATCTTTGCTCTATGTGTTTGTGTTGTCTCCTGTGTTCTGTAGTGCCCGGAGTCTGTCTTTTTATTTTCATCCCCTCAGGAAGCCTTTTGCCTCCTGCCAGGTCATCATTGCAAATAATAATTTGTTCTTAATTGATTTTCCTATATAAATAAAGGTTCTACTACTACTACTACTACTACTACTACTACTACTACTACTACTACTACTACTACTACTACTACTACTACTACTACTACTACTACTACTACTACTACTACTACTACTACTACTACACTTAAGTAAAAACTAATCTTATTGATAATATTTTGTCTTGTATTTATTTTCATTGCATTTGATATTGAGGTAATCCTAAGTAACAGAAAGTAATCATGTTACATTACTTCTATATTTTAACACTCAGATTAGGTTACTGATTTATTTTTTTTACAGCTAAATAATAATTTTTACAGAATACATTTGTACAAGTAATCCTCCCGACCCTGGTCATTAGTAATTCATATTCAGCTATCAATTAAAATGTTGTTTGCTCTTTGTTTTTTTCAGACTCCTGGATCAGCTACCTCTATTCACAGCCACAGTTCACTTCATGGACATGCACACTGTAAGTGTTGTGAAGACGCTTTGGCTGTAACATGCAGTCCTTCTTTAATCATTAATTCTTTCACCTCTGTCTTTGAAAAGGAACTCCCATATCCTACAACACTCCTACAAGGTAAGAAATGCTTTACGAATAACTTGTGAAACTTTGTATCACATTTTCAAGAAGGGAGGATTTTCTCGTGTAGTCGTGAGTCAGTCCAATTCTGTCTTCCCCAGAACTCAGCGTCAGACTCCTAATGCCTTCCAGTTCCCGTTTATGAGTGGATTATCATTACAGTCACCCAGGCACTGATGAAGCTGGGATATTTTTGTCAGTTGATGTTGACAGTTGACAGTTGACATCAGCTTTTTTTCTTAGTTAGTTAAAGAAAAACATGTTTTTGCCCAGAAACAGTTGGATGTTGATTTAATGTCACAATTTATCATTGTTCCATTGACGTTACCCTGTGGTTCCAGATTATCATATTGTTATTGATTGACCGTTAATTGACTGTTTTACAATTGTATGTGTTTCTACAAATTGCTTTTGCTTGGAGTTTACATTGATACAAAAATAAATGTTATCCGTCAGGATCAGTTGGTGTCATTACAGCACACAAAAAAACATTGCTCACACATGAATAGAAAGGCAAATCCTTTACTGGTTTCCAGTGACACAATTGTGCAAAATTTCAAACTGGATGAAATACATGGAAGACATCTGCAAAAGGAAGACACTAAGCGTTGTGGACATTTTCCACCAGCATGACACTTGCATTAATGCTTCATTACTAATACAATGACAAAGTGACACTGCTTGATCGACTTTATTGTAATCTAAACCAGATATTTCTATTGAGCTAACTGACACCATTAAAACCCACTTCCTGTGTACCAAGCTAAACGTTCCGGACATGATGGAGCCAGAGCCCAAGGAAAAGTGGTTCCACTTTGGTAAACAAAACAAAAATAGATTTGTAAGTTACGTATATAGAAAGATGTATTTAGATATTACACATATGTTGCAATATAACCTCCAAATAAATAATGCATTACAATACACATTTTAATTAAGTAAAATAATGTTATCGGTTATATAAAAGTACACATATAAAATAATGTTGTCGGTTAAATAAAAGTACACATTCAATTGTTTGATAACTATTATAACATGTAAGTATATTGACTTGGAAGGTTGTTATGGTTGGGCTGATTTTAGAAATATGCCTTTAAGTAGTTTCATCTGAATTATTGTATTATTTTAAAAATACTGTTGTATGTAAAATAATCAGGTAATTGTTGATAAATAAATTAAGTAGAGTTAAAAAAAAGAAGCAATTAGGCAGATAAATAAAAATGTACTTGAATAAGTTTTCTAGATATTATCCAAATGAAAACTCTACAATGAAATTGCAAGTATGTGAAATTACACCCCAGTATAAGTAGACAGAGGACCAAGTGCTGCCCTGCTCTCACACAGGTGTTGCTCGTTCAGCTAATTTGGCAGCAAGTCTACAAATGGTGTCACTTCCTGTGTGATCTAGATCATTCAGTCATGGGGACTCAACTCTACCTAGGTGTGATAGTCTTGGCTCTTTTTGCAACAACTGTTGCTAATGCAGGTATTCTTAGCACATGCATGTAAACATCTGCTTTTTTTGGGGAATGTATGGGGAAATATATAATAATGATTTGTTTGCAGAAATCAAAGTAAACTGTGAAAAAGACTCCATAAACGTCACATGGAGGATCCATCCGATGCTGGTGCCATTTGCAGCTCGTCACTTCCTCGGAAACTGCATGGCTTCCCGGTTTAATGTTCTGCCCAGCGGAGAGGGGAACGCTGAGTTTAACTACAAACTAGATGACTGCAATTTTAAAAGACTGGTAATGTAACTGCCATGTTTCACCAAAATATCTCTCAGCCTTATTAATGTCATAATGAGCTTTTTTTTATTCTTCAGATGAAAGGGAAAAAGCTCCTCTACAAAAATGAGTTGACTTTCAGGCCCCAACCAAGGTCGAGTCCTGCATCTTATGTGTATCCCATCGAGTGTGTTTATCCAAGGTAGGAGTTTCGTTCTTATTTAAATTCAAGTTTAAAGCTGATATATGGGATAAATGTTGTTAATATATTTCAGACCTAAGGGGTGGATTCCTCCTTTCCTGAACGCGGGGTCAGGTGTTGCCGAAGGCCGGGGAGGTCTGAAGTTCCACATGCTGCTCCTAAATGGTGAGGGCTCATGCTCCCAAAGGCAAAACACTCTAAAAACGCACACTAAGCAGTTTTTACTTTTCCCGTTACAGAAAGAATAACAGCGGTAGCGGAGACAAATGTCATCCCCCTGGGCTCCTTCATGCCAATATGGGCAACAGTGGCGCAGGAGTCCCATCAGCCATTGCTGCTGCTCATGGAGGAATGTGTGGCAGCCACTACGTCTGAGCTGCAGGCTAACAGCAATGTGTACCCCATCATTACAAATAAGGGGTGAGATCCAGTCTCTGATTTATTTAATTGTTTTCTGGAGTTTAGTCCTTATCGCTTATCTGAATGTCTTCAGGTGTCTCTTGGACAGTGAGAAGGGAAACTCCATGTTTCTCCAGCGGTACCACTCCTCTGCAATCACCCTCTACCTGCAGTCCTTCAAGTTTGGTCTCGGCGAGGAGGTGAGGGTGTAAATGGAAAGTGCTCTAAAGAATATTTGGTTCCTAGCTAAAATGTATGTTTCATCTGCTCCTCAGGTGTACATTCACTGCAAACTGCTCGCATGGGATCCTGAAGTTCTAAGTGAAAGCAAGAAAGCTTGCCACTATGTAAAGGAAAATGAGCGGTAAGGGAAGAGTTTGATATGTTGGAAGTATGTGAACATGTTCTTGCCAGAAGTTTAATAGAATGAATGCAACTGATGCCATGTGCAACAAGTATGCACCATTAGCCAAGGCGTCTAACTTATTTTAGCATAACCTATCCAACTTGAAGTAGATTAATGCCTGTACTTTGATCAGTATTGTGCTTTTTATATATCTATAACAAATGATCTCTAACTAACAAAGTGTAGACAACAATTGTGACAAATGATAATTGTAAAATATTTAAGAATAACAATATATTAGTTTTAAAAGGAGTGGCACTCAAATGATTAGCCAAACTAATGAGATGGGCCTACATTTTAAAAAAAGCCCTGAGCTTTTCTGTTCACTTTTTTTCTGCACTGTAGATGGAAATGTATCTTTTGGTCCTTTTTAGCAAATGTTATTAACTTGATATTTAAAAAAAAAAAATTAAAGCCATGCTGATGTATTTGAGCCTTTACTGTTGTTGCTTTCTCAGATGGGAACTCCTGGATGACCCCATGCAGAGCTCCATTTGTGACTGCTGTTCTAGGACCTGCAACACCCGCTCAAAGAGAGGAGACGAATGGGGTATCGCTCTTATGCCAACTTGTATGCTTTTTGATCTAGTATAGTCTTTTTCAATTTGAAGTTATATCTTTTTTTTTTCCACCTCAGAATCCAACGGCTTCCGGCACACTTCTGTGTTAGGACCCCTGATCATAATGGATCCATCGCAACAAAATACCCACAATGCATCAGATGTTTCCATTGCTGACCAAGATTAATGAGTATTTATTTATGGCATTTGTCTTGAAGTTTTGTTCAAAACTTGCCATAAGACTAATGTTGCTAAACATTTTCTCAATAGGAAGTCCAGTCTAGGATTGGGGAGACTGAACAGAGGGCCCAGTGGTGGACGACATCCATATGCAGATTAAAGTTGTCTATAATCTCTGTATAAATAAAACTGTTAACTCCTCAACTGTGTCCATCTGTCCTATCAGTAGAATTGTACTAATTATGTGTGACTTTTGTCATTGAAATATACTGTCAAGTTCTGTCAATTATAATGTAACCTTTAAGTCCTCAGACAAATTGTAATGGCCATATGAGTTGGAGTATAGCCCTGAATTTGTCTTTCACTTTCCATTTTACATTGAGCTCTGCACATGATATAAATTCTGACATT